ATAGGGTCGTACAAGGCTCCGTTATGCAGAACTCTGCACGTGAAAGCCTCATACTGCGCTTCGATGAGGTTGACGATTTTATCCGGGACTCCCTTGCGTCTCAGGGCGCCCCACAGATTCTCGTGATTGAGACGGTCGAAAGCTTTTTCGTAGTCAATGAATACCAAATAAAGGGACTCTTGGAATTCATTGACCTGCTCCAGGATGATGCGGAGCGTGACAATATGGTCCACACAAGACCTTCCGGCACAGAATCCTGCCTGCTGCCGTCGGAGAGTCGCGTCGATCTTCTCCTGTATCCGATTCAGGATAACTTTGCACAGAACTTTGAGAACAATACACAGTAACATGATGCCTCGCCAATTGTCGCACTCAGTCAAATCCCCCTTTTTGGGACCTTCACTAAGATGCCCTGCATCCAGTCGGCCGGAAAAGTCGCGGTGTCCCAGATATTACAGAATAGTTGATGCAACATTTGTGCGGATAGCATGGGGTCAGCTTTGAGCATCTCTGCTGATATGCGATCGACCCCTGGAGCCTTGTTGGATTTCATGCTTCGGATAGCTGCTTCAATCTCCTGCAGTGATGGGGCCTCGGAATTGACGCGAGTGATGCGCCGCACCCTAGGCAGATCATGCCGAGATGTTGATGGCTGGTTGGCCGTCGAAACTTGAAGAAGTTGTTCGAAGTGCTCAAACCAGCGTTTCAGCTGGTCAGTGGGGTCCTATCTGCTTTGATCGATTCTCTTCATCGACTTTCTCTTTTCATAACCACTGCTATGCAACCTGATTTCGCGCTAATTCTCCACATAGTTTGATAAAGGAGGTTTTTATCTAGCAACCAAAACGTTAAATACAACAGGGAAAGGTTTTGCAGCTGAGTTATTGACGAAAGGGAAAGTCGATGAAGAGAATCGATCAATGCAGATAGGACCTTTTGAAATGTTTATCTAGAATTGTCTAGTCGTGTCCTTCACTGGCATCCTCGGGTTCATCCTTGCTCCACTCAGGCGTCGTGAGATATCGTAGAGGAGGCGTATATCGCCAGTGTTTGCAGCTTTCTCCCCTTCGTTAGCCAGGGAGTTCATCCACGCTCGCTTGTCCCGTCTGCAAGAGCGCTTGACTTCCTTCTCTAGAGCCGAGTACCGTTACGGGCTTCGTTCTTGGCTCCTCTGGTTCTCGCCCGCCTTATCGCGGCTTTTGCTTCTCTACGCTCCTCAATCTTCCGCCAGGTTTCATCTGTGATCCACTCTTTCCTCTGGGTGCGCAGCTCACCCAAGTTGTTCTCGCTTGTTTCTATAAAGGCATCCATTGTTCTTCTACGCTGCCACCTTCTGGAACGTCCGCAGCTCGAGTCTCAAGTTCTTCAACAAAAGACCTTTTTACCGCTGGATCTTCAAGTCGGCGTGTGTTGAACCGCCGCCCGAGTCTCTCCTCCCGTCGCTGGATCCGCGCCATGCGTATGCGGATTTCACTGATTAGAAGGTAATGGTCAGACGTGATGTCGGCGCTGCGTTTATTCCGAACATCAAGAAGGCTCCGTCTCCATTTTCGGCTGATGCAGATGTGGTCGATCTGATTTTCGGTATGTCCATCACGGGAAACCCACGTAACTTTGTGCACTGGCCGATGGGGAAGAGCGAGCCCCCGATCACCATGTCGTTATTGCCACAACATTCTGCAAACAGCTCAACGTTCTCGCTCATTTCGCTGAGACTATGGCGTCCCATGACACGCTCATAGTCTGTGTTGTCGGAGCCGATCTTCGCATTGAAGTCGCCATTGTAGATCTTGATGTCACCCTTTGGAACCTTATCCACGACGGCATTCAGTTGACTGTAAAAATTCTCCTTGTCCTGTAGCTCGGCAGCATCGGTTGGCGCATAACATTGGATTATGGTAAGGTAACGAACCCGTGTTCTGGCAACGATTATCCTCTCATTAACAGGCTCCCACTTGATGAGCGCAGCACTTGCCTGGACGCTAAGTAGAACACCAACTCCACGATGGTGGGGAGCGTTTTCACCTCGAATACCAGAGTATAGAGCAATTTTATAGCTTTTCATAAAGTGCTCTACAGTACACCAAATAGGGATGCTTCCGTAATAATTCATGAGTTTTGGAAAGACAGGTGAAGTGACATCAACTGTAATTCTGAAAATTAAAAGCAATTTAATTTAAAACTTTCTGATATGAATGACTGACGTGTTTCGGGTATGACCAATATTTTCAATCGGCACTTTATTTAATTTCAATTTTTCATGACGCCATGTGTCGTTTTTGCTCCCGTTGATCTTCTTTTATAAATTGTCATATTGAGCGCTATTTAGAGCGCACTAAGATAATGTCTCAAATATTGTAAAATTCAATAGGCCCACTTTACTTTTGGAAGCAAAACAACACATTTCACGATAAATTTCGAAGCGCATCTATGTAAGATTCAGGCATAAATGCTTAGATAAAACATATTTCAGTGCCAACATTTCAAAGAGGCGTAATTGCATTTGTAAACAATGACTTTCGTCTTCGATTTCTCGCGAATGAAAGCTCACTCATGAAAATGAATGACACCCGCAGGTAGATGAATGTTTCCTGTCCCAGCTAGCATTGGTAATTTGGAGGAGTGGGCTTTTATTTGCGAGAAATCGACGGCTAAAGCCATTGTTTACAAAAGCAATTACGCCCCTTTGAAATGTTGGCACTGATTTAATTATTTAAAACTAGCTGAGTGTGCCCAGCCTTGGTCGGGATTCAATATAAGCTTGAGTTTGCGCCAATTAAAGAAAAAGCATGCTATATTGTACGAAGCCCCCCCCCCCTCTTATCTAAGAGGCTACTCCCTTTGATTTCCACATGTCAAATTTGGTGGAGGAAACTTTCCCTGCTCCAAAAACCCCTGCATACATTTTTTTTACGCCGATCGGTTCAGTAGTTTCCGAGTCTATAAGCGTCAGACAGAAAGACAGAAATTCATTTTTATATAGGGGAAATGGCTCTAATGTTGGCCTATGCATGTAAGATTGGGCCCATCGTTAAAAATCTGCTATTTATCCATTTTATCTAGAGGAACGCGTCATTGGGACGGCACTAATAGATATTTGTGGTCTCTATTGAAAATTTAGTCGATTTCTGAATTTATGTATGGGCCCAAATTAGGGGCATTTAGGCCGACATTACATCCTTTTCCCCTATTACCAAAACTTGTTTTATGAGACGCAATTGCTTGCGCTTTTTTGGTTGAGTAGATGTAAGTATTTATGTTATTCCTTTTGGAAGTAATACCTACAGTTTGTCTTGAAGATGTATTTTCAACTTTTGCATAACAACCCGTGTTGCTTGCGAGCATGGGGATTTGCTCAAGTGAAGTGACTGGCTTCTGTTATAATTATAACTCAATGTATAAGAAACTATCCTTTTCTGAATGAATGAAGGTATGGTTTTCGATCAAATTTCTGACCTACTAACCACAACCCGTGCTTTACCTCTCTTTTTAAACGGAAAAGACCAAAAAGTTCAATGATTTTACCAGCAATGACTTCCATATTAATTTACCTTTCCATGCGTACCGACATATTTGATAAAGAGTGTCACATTGTTGAGATATTGTTAAAAATCGAACGCCCTCTCTTGACTTCAACTTCGTTCTACAAGTTTCAATTCCGTCCTAACTGCGTCAAAACGGCATTGAATTTGTGAGGTTTTTCTTCGTTCTACGAATAAAGGCAGAACAACTGGATTCGCTAGGAGCACTGTATTTGTTTTGAGAACAACGCTCGATCTAATTTCCGTCCTACTAAGCACAACCCGCGGTTTACCTCTCTTTTCTGAACGAGTTTAAACAAAAAATGGAATATTTCTGTCAAAGATGACTTCTAAATTTATTCACCTTTCCGGTACGTAGGGTTTACTACCCCATTTCCGGCCTATTAAGCACAACCCGCTCTTAGTGTTTCTTAATCTATCGCAGTTTAGCACCAAACGGAATGTTATTATCACTGATGGCTTTCAAATTTATTTACCTTTCCGTACGTACCGTAAGATTTGATAAAGAGAAACCAATCGTTGGGATATTGTCAAAAGTCTTAACACTGCTTCTTGACGCCAAACTCGGCCTACTGATTCTAAACTCGGCCTAACGCATTGAAACGCCATTGAAACGCCAATAAATTCACTTCGGCCTATCGGATGAAGATAAAAATTGATTCAGTCAGAGCGCTTCTTTTGTTTTTGGGAATAATGGGTGCAAACTTTCATGTCACGCGTTCTCATTGACATCGTTCGGTAGCTTATTAACTAAAGTATCGTACCAAACGCATAATTGACTTGTTAACTCTGAAATCATGAATTTGATGTTTTCTGCTCAATAGGCCCAACATGGGCGATTAGGCCGAAGTAGTTCTCTATTCTATTAGATTTGATAAAGAGTCACACATTGTTGAAATATTGTTTAAAATCTAATACTGCTTCTTGATTCTAAATTCGTTCTACGAGTTTCAATTCCGTCCTAACGCATTGAAACGCCATTAGATTTTCTTCGTCCTACGGATAAACGTAGAAAAAGGGGATTCGCTGGGAGCACTTCTTTTGTTTTGCGAACAATGAGCGTAAATATTCATGCAATGCGGTCTAACAGCTAATGAACCAACGCATCGGAACAAACCTATAATTGATCTGTGCACAGTGAAATCATTGATATTATTGATCTTTTCTGATCGATGGAACGGAAATGGGCCATTAAAACGAAGTAGTGCTCTACCCTATAAGCTTTGTTTTTGTAGATTAAAAGTGAACGCACCAAAACAAGCGTATTCTTGATTTGAACATGGTAAAATCATTCATATTGTTTTCTGCTCGATAGAACGAATATGAGCAATTACGACGAATTAGCGCTCTACCCTATTGTGTATGGTCAAAATGGCATCCCAGAACAGGGTTACTGAAACCTTCACCGGTCCCATCTTCACACCTAATCGATTCAACAATCATTTCCGTCATTCGCAGATTTTCACCAGAGACGAACTGCACTACGACCACGCTCTGCTGGAGCGCGGTGTCTGCATTCAAGACTGCGAAAACTCTCTCCGCTTCCGCGGAGAGCTACCACAGCCGCGTGATCTCTCGCCGTACGCTCTCTACGCCCAACAGGCACGATCTTGCATCAACACTCGTCTGAAAGAGGACTACAACCTGCACATTGGAAGCCACGTCAACATCTACCATTGCTACACACCTGAGACTGACAATCCCCCGGTTGGTAAGCTAGGTTTATAGATGTGAAACAATACAAGACCTCTATTCTCATCGCATCTCATCACGCAGATTTTCCGGAAGTCTTGTTCTACATCGTCGTAACGATCCTCTTCACTTTCGTCGTCGGTTCCACTGCCTACGATGTCCGTCAGCGGAACGTACAAGGTTGTCCGGGAACTTACTACAATGAGGATCCCAAGACACGCCGGGAACGCCTGCTGGTGGCATTTTCATTCCCGAGAAATGTCTCCCGGTTGAAAGATACCGGATTCAGTAAAATCCGGCTGGACCTCCAATTTCTGGAGGCCTTAAGGTTCATTCAAATGTGTCGAGTAGTGTTCCTTCACATTACCTTGGGTCACATTAAAGTGCCCCAAGCCAATACCGACTTTATGGAGAATCTTCAAGAGGATCCGATAATCATCTTCTTCATTGCGGAGTTCCAAAATTACATTCAAACATTCCTCTCGATTTCCGGGATGCTATTGACGATCAACTTCCTGGAGCACATCAGAAAAAATCCGGATTTTGACGGTTCTATTTTCTGGGATAAGTTGAAGGCTCGGTTGTGTCGGATCGTTCCGGCATACGCGTTCGTAATTCTCTTGGAATGCTCCATCCTGCATCGGTACCTAGATGGACCGATTGGACAACACTTTATCGGGGAAGCTGAACAGAACTGTCGCCGCTGGTGGTGGACAAATCTGCTGTTCTTCAACAACTACGTCCGAACAGATCAACCGGTGAGTTAAACGCCCATTCTTCGGAAACACCACCGTGCCTAATCACTCCCATTCCGAAACCTTACAGTGCCTGGTCCAATCCTGGTATCTAGCAGTTGACATGCAACTATTCATCTACGGGTTGGTGGTAATGATGTTGATCTGGCGATGGCCCTGGACGAAGAAGTACATCTTAACAGTGGCGTTCGTCTGCGCAGCCTTGATTCCGACCTTGACCACGTACGCCAAAGACATCGAGCCTGCAATGACAAACCGGATGAAGAATGCCAACCGCTTCAATCGAGAGCACGACTATCAGTATGATATCTACTTTCCCTTCCAGCAGAACATCGGCACGTACTCATTTGGCATGCTGGCTGGCTTTTTATACCATCGGTATCGAGACTCACCGCAAACCCTTTTGAAGTCAAAGTGGTTCAGTGTGACATTCTGCGTAGCACTTGTGTACTACTTTCTGAGCATGTCGTCCGTGTACTGGGTGCTCGAGAACCGCAACCATATGCATCCAATCCTCAAAGCCATCTACTCGACGTTATTCAAACACGCCTGGGCAGTTTTGACGACCGTCCTGCAGCTGGGTCTGGCATTGGCTTCCAGCAAGTTCCTGTGGAAGAGATGCTTCAGCCATCCATTCTTCGGCGTAGCCGGGAAGCTGTGCTACGGATTCTATCTAATTCACTTCACGATCATAGAGCTGGTGTACGCAGGCGTCAAGGCCCCCGTCTACTCCGACGAACGGGGAGTGGTAAGTAGATTGTCGTGCTTATTAAAATAGGTTGCTCACATTAAGGTTTGTTTTCTTTTCAATTAGTCAAACCTTTTAGCGCAAATTTTATGGTGGACACTGATTTTCGGAACGCTGTTGACCTTGCTGGTGGAGTTGCCGTCTAATGCATTATTGAAGGAGCTGCTGGATCGGCGAAAAAGCAACAAGGTCCATGAAATCCGACAAACGCAAGGCCCCAACGAGCAGATCGTCGAGCACGGCAACTGAAATTTAGTATTCTTTGCCAGGACTTATGACGCCAAGTCAACGAGTGTATTTATTTGTAAATAAAGGAATGAATTTTAGCACAATTGATGGTTCATGTAGGTGGTGATTTGTTCACGGTCCTGGGATTTTGGTAATCATATGGGAATCTTCTGTTGATAACTCTAGATAGAGCTGGAATTAGGGCGTAGCAGCCTTTGTAAAACATTAATTCTCTCATTGATTTCTAGGAATTCAAGGCACGCTTACACCCCTACTCGATGGTGACATCAATTTGTCAGGGAGAGCCATGAGCCGAGGGAGAGCCGAGAAATCATCGAGAAAAGTCATTGTTTACAAAAGTTGTTACGCCCTGATTCCAGCTCTATCTAGAGCTACAGTATATCGTCGATAAATTAACTTCAACCTGAGTGGTGGTTAAATCACAGTTTGTTTTTATGATCGTATTGTTATAGTAGTTATTATTGATAAAAACACTGCTCAGGTTGAAGCGGAAAGCAATGAAGTCGATTGATTGTTGACTAATTCAGCCCAAAACTATCCATCTAGCCGTGCGGTTATTGGATTGCCATAAAGTGTATGATTTAAATTGATTCCAAAAGTTGCCGATCGTATCGGCCTGTTCGCACCACAAACAGTAATCAAACTAGCCATCGATCCGAAAAATCCGGTTAAAGCTAGCTAATTAGCAGGTCATAAAAAAGCATCGTGCTTCGGAGTCAGCAAGTTTTTCCTCAGAAAGCCCGTGAGGTAGATGTTGGTTTGCTTTGATATGTTTTTTAACGATCGTTCATCATGTAAGTGGTGGGTAATTGCCGTTGTTATCAAGAATCGTAAGACAGAGGCTCAGCTGCTGTAAACATTACTCAAGCAAGCTCCGTCCATGCCTGACACGTTGTTCGTCGCGGGAGAGTTGCTGTTTTGATTTCTTATAGCGGTATGTTGTTGTTTGACAAACGTCAGTTGGATCGTTTGTTTTCAGGTTGAGGTTCGCACTGACGAAAAGTTCGATTGTGCACATAATTAACAAATTTGCTATGGTTGATATGTTTGTATTTCACATTTGAGCTGACACTCAATTATTTTAAAACGAATCGTCATGTCAAGCGGCGCCGGTGGTGTAGTGGTAAGCGTGATTGCCTCTTACCCCAGCAGGCCTGGGTTCAATCCCAGTCGGCGCTACTGAGATCTTCTGTGGCATAACATCTCTGATCAGGCCTTCCTTCGGAAGGGAAGTAAAGCCGTTGGTCCCTGGCTCATGAGTAGATGGGTCGATAGGTAGGGTCCAGGTGTGGGAGCTGCCTCCCTGGCGCCGGTAGCATTGGTACTCGGTACGGAAAGCAAGATCGACGGAAATCAAATCAAGGTGTTATCATTTCATTGAATGAATTGCAAGGAAGAGTCTCAAGTCATGAAAAAGTATATGCAAAGTTAATACACAGGGCTACTAGCGATCAATTTTATCACTTTGCGGGGCTACTATACATGTGAAACTTCTAGTATACATGTATAAACTAGTATACATGTACACTTCTCGCATATGCTATATCTCGAGATCCTGATCAGATAGAATGTTACTATCTACGACAAAGTTGTTCAGGAGGTCAAGTTGTTTTGGTTGGTGGACAGTAGTTCAGAATGTTCTCACTTCATGGTCCTGGTATACATGTGAAATTATCGCATATAAAATATCTCAAGTTCTTAACCAGATAGAAAGTTTCTATCTTGAACAAAGTTGTTCAGGAGATTAAAGCCTAGAGTTTGTGAAAAAATTCTGATATACTGTTCTCCAGCCAAAAGTCCTTGGCCCCCTGAACAACTTTGCCGAAGACAGTAACATTCTATTTGGTCAGGATCTCGTGATATTTTACATGTGAGAATTTCACGTGTATACTAGCGCCGCTTAGGAAATTCTCAACTATTGTACACCAAGCAATAGGCTTTGATCTCCTGAACAACTTTGTTAAAGACAGTAACTTTCTATCTGGTCAGGATCTCGAGCTATTGTATATGCGAGAATTGCATGTTTATACTAGCGCTACATAGTGAGAAAATTTTGAACTACTGTCCACTGGCGAAATCTATCTGATCAAAACCTCAAGATATTTTACATGTGAGAATTTCGCGTGTATACTAACGCCACGTAGTGTAAAAATTCTGAACTATTGTGCACCAAGCAATAGGCATTATAGGGTCAATGCAACAACTTTTTCGAAGATAGTAATTTTCTACCTGTTCAGAATCTTGAGCTTAGCATACGCATGTACACTTTTACTAGCGCCACGTGTTGAGAAAATTCTGGGCTACTGTCCACCAGCCAAAACATCTTGACCCCCTGAACAAGTTTGCCGAAAACAGTAACTTTCTATCTGCTCAGGATCTCGAGCTATTGTATATGCGGAGAATCGCATGTGTATACTAGCACCGAGTAGTAAGAAAATTCTGAACAAATGTCTACCAACGAAAAGATCTTGACCTCCTGCACAACTTTGCCGAAGGCATTTACTCTCTATCTGTCCAGGATCTAGTGATGTATCACATGCGAGAACTTAAAATGTATACGAGCACTACCTAGTGAGAATATTCTGAACTACTGTTAATCTGAAAAAAGGCTATGATCTCCTGAACAGCTTTGCCTAAGACAGTAGCTATCTATCTGGTCAGGATCTCGAGATATTTTATATGAGAATTTCACGTGTATACAAGCGCCGCATATTGAGAAAATTCTGAACTACTGTCCACCAGCCAAAAAAAAAACTTGACCCCCTGAACAAGTTTGCCGAAAACAGTAACTTTCTATCTGCTCAGGATCTCGAGCTATTGTATATGCGAAAATTGCACGTATATACTAGCGCCACGTAGTAAGAATTTTTTTAAATACTCCACCAACGAAAAGATCTTGACTTCCTGAGAAACTTTGCCGAAGACAGTAACTTTTTATCTGGTAAGGATCTAGAGATATTGTATATATGCGAGAATTTTACATGTATATTAGCACCGCGAAGTGAGAAAACTCTGAACGAACTACCAACGAAAAGGCCTTGACCTTCTGAAAAACTTTGCCGAAACAGTAACTTTCTATCTGGTCAGGATCTCGAGATATGTTATATGATAATTTCACGTGTAGACTAGCGCCGCGTTTTGAGAAAATGTTGAACTATTTTACACCAAGAAATAGACTTTGATCTCACCAACAACTTTGTCGACAACAGTAACTTTCTATCTGGTCAGGATCTCGAGATATATCACATGCGATAATTTCATATGTATTCTAGCGCTACGTAGTGGGAAAATTCTGAACTACTCTCCACCAGCAAAAAGGTTGTGATCTCTAGAACAACTTTGTCTAAGACAGTAACTTTCTATCTGGTCAGGATCTCGAGATTTTTCACATTGTAACCAATTAAGTCAAATCCCACGTTGTACGGACACCGTTTACGCGGTTTCCATTCACATTTTCTCTATTATCCGCATTTTTTGGGGGTCAACTGTGATAAAAGCTTAGCTTGTTTAGTTAAAAAAAAAAATTTCAACGGATGCCCGTTGGTTGTATATCGATTGGTAGCTCGGCTGCAAAATTTGGCAATGGAGAACTCCCCAAGTAACACAATCCAGTCACGAAAAGTTGCAGCAACTTAAATGTGAGTGAAATAAGTTGCATAGGAGTAGCTACAACCGTTTGGTGACAAGTGTGCTGCTAGGGTCACACTGTTGTACAAAGTACAACGCGCGAGTACTCGTGTTACAAAAGTTGGCGCGAGTAACGGAGGGTTCAGTTGTCGAAGCTTCTCTGAAGTTTCTTCTGAACTTATGTGAAGATCTCAATAATCTTCTTAACGTCTCTGAAATTCTATGAAAATCTAGAAACTTCTTAATATGCCGCTTATTTACTGAAACTAATGTAACTGAACTCCCGTGAAATACCTTTTTTTTTTGGAGCTTACTTTGCTACTTGAAATGCTCTCGCATTTTGCTAATCTTCCAAACAGTTCCTGAAGTTCTCGGGTATTCCCTAAAGTTCCATAGACTACTATGAAGTTCTCGAAATGTTTCATAACTACATCAATATTCTAGGCATTAATGATGTTATTAAAACTGCCAAAAAGAATTCTGAGTTTTAAAGAGAATTTAAAGTTCTCTAGACTGACGTCAAATACTCAGTATTTTTAATAAGAACTCACAATAAAGAGGAAATTCATTACATACATTCACAACTTGCCTTCAGCTTAATAAACGCTCACGGAACTTTGCCTTAAATCACTAATTTTCCCTGAACTTATATGGACATCATCTGAAGTTTTCTATGCTTCCCTGAAGTTCTCTAAATCTGTTTAATGGTCCAGAAAATTTTCTGATAGGTATATACAGCCATTCCATAGCAAAACGATATAGTGGTTCTCAGAATTTAGTTACAATTGGCAGTTTTGTTCCTTATCGAAAAATATTAGAACCGTATTTTTTTAATTTCTCATTAGGGTGACCATAGTCCTGTTAGGGTGGTCCAAAAATCGATTTTTTCTATTTTTTCCACAAATAGCATTTTTTTTTAAATCATAACTTTTAAACCATTGAACCGATTTGAATGATCAAAATATCAAAAAGGAAAAAATATAAACTTTTTTGAATATTGTAGTTTTGTATCGAAGAATTTTGATTGTATTTGTTTTTTATGGTTTTCATGGTTTGTAGACAATGGGCGTAACACGTTTTTATATTTATTTTGAAAACTTAGGCTTTTCTACACAACATATTAAAAAATCAGCGATGTATTTGTCTTCGTTTTTGAGTTACGATTTTTTGAAATTATCATGTTTAGAAATTTCGCTCATTACTCCAATACGACTATACATATATATATACATAACTCCCTGATACTTCTGAAGTTCTCGGATCAATCATAGAATTCTCGTAATACCCCATAATTCCACGGAACCCTTTGTAAGCCACTGCACATTTTCTTTTAATTAATAGATTTGTTCTAAATTTCACTCAACTATCTAAAAAAAATCTTAATTTCTTAGAAAATTTTG